AGCGTAGTTGCAATGCTGATTAACTTGCGGCATAATCCTATAGTATTTCTGACATAGAAGCAAGCCAGTTTTTGGATGCACTGCTTCCTAAATTCCTGTTTAAACCGTACTCAGTAAAAAATGACTGTGTCAGTGGTATGGATTTTTCTCCTTGAATTTCGATGGTGATGCAACTTCAAACAAATTTTATAAAAACCACAAAAAATTCTTTCTTGCACTCGTTTGACAGAGAATCACCTTATCAATGGCAGGGGCGCTCACTGATCGTTCATATGGAACTCACTCTTTCCGTTGTGCCTTAAGGGCTCTCTCTGAAGCCCAACCAGCAGCCGCACAGCGGCGCATAATATATAGGCAGAATGACAATACCGACAAAGACAAGGGAGACTGGAATGGCCATTTCTGGCTTATTAGCCGTCGTCAGCCAGTCATACCCAATCCCGAAGTGTGGAACACCCGAGACTCGAACTGGCGATCTGTTAGTTAGAAGTTTACGCCTCTAACCACTGCGCCACGAGCCCGTTGCCCTGTCGGTTTTCGCTATTTTTACGTTATCTTTACGTTAGAGTTTCACGTTATCTTTATATTTTATCCTCGAAGCAGTATAGTTAGGTTTTGAGAGAGTTTCCAGTTGTACGATTTTTAAAAAAATTAGCATATTATATATAAGCCAACGAAGGATTATCTCGACCCTGACAGCACAAGAATTTAGTTGGGTTTGGAACTGTTGATACTAAATGTTCCGAAATCCAAATAGCTTTTCCTAGATAAGAGTGCTTACTGCTTTCTAGTAGACCCTTTCTAAGTGCCTATAACTTGAGGTTTTGAAACTCTCCTTCATTTATCAGTAAGTGATCTCGGGCTATTTTCTGGGGTACAAAATTATCTATATTTAACACGCAAAACAAAATACTAGAAAAGTTTTTAGAATACTTGCATTGTCCTGTTTAAACTTATGTGCAGAAATGTAATTACTATTGATCTGACAGCTTCCATACTAAAGCGATCGGCTCAGCTGCCAACTTTTTTAACTGGAGCGTAAACTGGAGAGCAGGAAACAGCTCCAGCCACAGGCCACATGAAAACCTCAGCAAAGGATGTTTGGCTTAGTAGAAACGAATATTAAAAAGTTCTGTGCAGCGCGGTTTTGATTTTGTCATCTCCTTTGGAGATTCGACCAATGACAACACTGAAATTGAATCCGTGAATTAGAAAAAGTCAGTTTTCACTTGTTTTCAGCATGATTCTCTGCGATCGACGTCCTTGCAACGCTCACCCAAACAATTCTGCTGAGCGTCAGATCCAAATCAGAGGGCTTTCAAATGCTGATTCATTCACCCTAATCCCAGCGCCTGTTTCGTTAATAATGCCAAGCTTCTGAATGCAGATGCGAGAGACATGGCAAAACAATGCCTCTCAACGATTCATATGTGCACTGGGGCATATACCTTATTTCGTATCTTCCAACTTTTATTTTCTTTCCAGTTTGACAGTGAATTATTCCACAGAAGTGGGTGTGAACATTTGAACTGTAATCCTTCAGCTTCATTGACATAACTGAAATATCGTTATCAGTCATGAACAGGAAGTAGGCAGTGTAGAATTATTGACTCATTTGCCATATATATAACAATAACGTAAATGAAAAAATAAAAGAGGTTCTTCGGAAAAATCGAGTTGTGCTCGTGAATTTTCGAGTTAGTGACACCCACCCGTCGTCAGGCGAAATGAGAACATGGGAGAAAGTTATGTTGTCACAGTAGACCATCTCATGAGTTAGCACAGAACGGACCACTGACGTATGAGGGGGGGGGCTCCCGAGGTCATGGTAGGTCCCTGGGTGAAGGGCAGGGAAGGGAGAGGAGGCGGAACAATTACGGCACACCCTGCTGGAGGGGGAGGGTGGGTGGTGGATCATTTGGGATGCGGGCGGCTGTATTCGCGGTCGTTGATGCGTGATTAGCGCAGGGGGCAGTCATTTGTGCGCGTAGACCCTCGTAATGGGCATCTAAGTCAACGTGGCGGTTAATACTACCCGCATTGGAGTAGCAAGCCTCGAGAAATTCCCTCGCTCGCTTTGTGTTACGCATGATGACGACCTCAGTGCCATCCCAATTGAATCGGTGGTCGTACTCGAGTGCATGGGCAAAGACGAAGGACAGGGGGGCCGCCGACGGATGGCTAGTTTGTGTTCGTTGATACGGGTTCCCAGGCATCGACCTATACGGCAAAAATACACGCAAGAGCAGTTAGCACACGGGATGCGATAAATTACATTCGTTTGCTGCTTTTTGTGGGTTGGGATACTTCACTCGAGATAGTGCTGCGCTTAGTGAAGATGCCGGTTTGTGGGCAATGTGAATACCCAAGCGGCTGAACTGGCGGGCGATTATTTCAGAAGTTCCACGCATATATGGCAAGAAGTAGAATTTTCGCGTCACAATCTCTCCGTTAGGGGTCGAGTCTTGCGAATGTGTCTGGTGCCTGAGACAGTTCTTTACAAAACTGATCGGATACCCGTTAGAGCGGAATAACCGATACAGGGGAGCAAGCTCTTTGTTCAGGTGATCGTTGCTGTTACAACAACGTTGTTAGGCCCGGTGGAACAGAGTTTGGACGCAGCTTCTTTTGTGAGCTGCAGGGTGGTTGCTTCCATAGCTGGACGCTTGTTGCCAGGATACCATCGCTCAACTTCTGTATCCTCACGTCCAGAAACAGCAAGCAGTCGACAAGTGCCCTTTCGCGGGTAAAATGTATGACTAGAAGACGTCATTCAGTCTCTGGTGAAGTCCGTCGACTTCGCACTTCTTTATTATGACAAAAGTGTCATCAACGTAACGAAGCGATAGTTTAGGCTTGATAGTTTGGAAAACTATCTCTTCTAGTCGCTGCAAAACTACTTCGGCGAGCAGTCCTGATATTGGTGAGCCCATCGGGGTTCCCTTTACCTGTTGGTAGTACCTATTATCAAATTGACAATAGTTCCTAAGGCAAAGATTTAGCAGTTCTATAACATGCTGCGTTGGGATCTCAATAGGCGTTGGGTTACGCATTCGATCGCCAAATCTTGTTGTATGGAAGAAAACAAGGCAACGGCGTCAAAGGACAGGAAGCATTCATCGGTACTTACTTTCGGGTTGGTGTCATCAGATCGAAAATTCGCGAGTACAACTAGATTTTTCCGAAGAACCTCTTCTATTTTTCATTATATCAACTCTTAATGCATACCCCCTCTGAGCTACAATAACGTAAATGTTTAAAAGTACCAGAAAACAAGTGCGAGCGCCTGGGAACCACTGATGAGCAAAAACCTTCGCAATCGCGTCATGTGGCACGCAGAACTCAGCGAAAACTGTGTTCTCGCCTGCCTCCTGTCAACTATAACAAAAGTTGAAGACTTATTGCGATTTTCATATAAACCAAAAATATCGCACGAACTTATATGAAAGGTTTGACAACCGTGTTACGATATGACATCTAAATATGTCGCATCGTCCTGTAGGTTTTACTTTCCCTTCACTAACCTTACCCTCTGCTGTCATCGGCCGAGTAGCAACGCTGATCCTTTTTCTTGAAAAACTGAGCATGCAGTCGGCGTATCCTGTGGAATCATTTTAAATTAACTGCCTTTCATTGCGTACGGTTACGCATTGCCAGATATGCGTTAAAATGCGTTCTTGCCTTCATATCAAATGAACATGTTCTCACACCCCCTTCACTTTTGCCAATGAATGCCATCTCAAATCTCACCCGTCTATTCACTTCTGAACATCTTCGTTGAAGTTGGGGACAAATAAGTATGTGCTGGCGATGATTTTTTAGAGCAGTAGTTAACAATTAGTGGCAATTTACTGGTCTGATAAGGACCAGGAGAATGCTTTGAAAATGGCCTGTAGGAAGTAGAAGCATATTTAATTATCTACATAATTACAAATATGCAAATTATCTAAACGCGTTATATTGCAAAAGCACTTCAAGTATGGTAGGCTGTAAACTGAAGTACTCGTGCAATCTAATGCAAGTGTTAACACAGAAGTCACATTGTGAATGAGATTATTAGTAATCGTATGAATCTATTTCTTTATGATTTCCGTGCGCCAAATGATCCGGTATCAATACATAGAGTTCATTTTGTCTGTGGGCCTTACGTATAGACTATGGGTGTTGAACGGTGCTCAAAAGGCAAGAACAGCATAGGTAACGCAAATATTCGAAATAAGTAACAAAATGGATATCAATAGACCGTATTCTCTAGTTTGGGCTGTATTGTTTGCGTTCTCACATTTCCTGATTGTTTTTGGGAGGATGGAGTTCACATAACTGGAAGAATCTTTGCCATTTTTGTTATTTATTTTTCTAAGCATCATGGTATTTCCAAACAACGTACTATTATCCTAGCATTTCATTTATGCTTTACTCCTTTTGAAGTTTTCTATTTATTAACATAGATTTAAGTTCGGCCACTTTTGTCGATTCGCGAATGATTAGCAGTCATTTTTGACTCTCGACAGATCTCATGAATTAAGTAACGCTCTGTATTTTATTATACATCGCAAAACTACTGTATGCCAAGAAAAATAGGTAAAATGCTAAAATAATCCCACCATGATTTGCACCATGATTTCCACCATGATTTTGCATTCTGTTATATGGCGAGTTAAAACTTTCCTGCTACGTCAAAAGTGGAGTTGCTGATTAAGAAAAAAACACTTTTTTGGAAAACACTGAACAGCAGTGACTATCTTGCCACCCCCCACACCCAGTTTCTTCTTCCTTATAGATTTTTTCTGATTGTAACACAATTTTCTGCTAAGATTTTCAAACCAGAAGATGTCGCAATTGCGTGGAAATTGGGGTTATTCCCAGCCAACTCGATTTTTTTTAAAGGCAGGCTGTTGAGATCAAGTTTAATTGGCAGTCGTCTCAGTTTCGGCGATCATTGTCGGTGAATCTTTGGAAAATATAAAGACACGCCTCACAACGTTTAGAAACTCTGCAAAATGAAAATTCTGAACCTAATCTTTTCAATATACTGCGTAGCTGGTATGTACTTCTACCAGATGGACAATATTTAAATGAGTGAGACAGAACGTGCAAGTTATTTAAAATAGGATGCCTACTGCTATTGACATTATTTATGATCGTATGAAGTTATATGTTTAACATTGACTGACATATATGAGTTGGAATACAGTTGTGTTAGTTCTCGTGATCTAGTATTAGCATTTCCAGGTTGTGTCAATTGTAGCGCTCACATTTTCGCTAAAGATTATTAAGAGAACATAAAATGTAGGACTAAAATATTCATTTCATTTGCTCCAATAAAAAAGACTTTTAGCAAGCTAGATATTATTGAACGTAATTCCTTCGTTTAGGCATGGCTTCCGAGGAACGGTTGTACAAGCCATTATCAAATGGACTCGAGGATAACGTAGTCTCTTCAGTCGATAAATGTCAGTGGGTGGAAATCAACCTTCCGGAGCCGCTGGTGGTAGGATTCACTTGTGAAAGGCCTACCAATAAATAAATATGCTGATACATATCATGAAGAGGTCATTGTAAATTTTCCCTTATTTGTACGAAAGGTTTTAACAGACAAACACGATCACGCGCCAGAATTACTTTCTTTGTCTGCCAGAAAATAGCAAATACATCGAAAACATATTGCTTTTCATATGTTTAGTTAATATAACTTAGTGGTTAACTGTTATTTCTCCTTGAGTGTCATATAACAAATGCAGGCAATAAAACTACCTACTATGTCAAAGTGCAAATATGATCGCTTCAGTAGACATACTAACTCATAAAATGTCCATCAAAATTAAGAAATGATTTTTGATTTCGAAAAGAGTACTTAAGTAGAATTTAAAAAATAATCGTCATGCAGCACAATTCCGCATACAAAAACATAAACTGCACAAAATGGATACTTATGTAGCATGCATTTTGCTCACCGATTTTTAATATCCTTAAAAATTCAAGTATATTCCATACATGAAATATTCATTTTTGATCACTCGGTAGAAAATGACGTTTTATTTCAATTTTATATTCGAAGGATTGGCATATTTCTGTTTTCAAAACAACTTTCCCGTTCATGAATAGCTTCGAATCCAACATATCGTTACACGTGCATTCAGAGTTTTTAAACTACAAGCCATACGCATTTCGTGTGCAGGAAACCACACACTTCTGTACGTTAGAAGGAGGAGACTATATGGGTGTCATGATATTTATCCCTAGATTTGACCCATATTGTAAGCTTACGTAAACGAAGAAACATGACGTTTGCTAAACGATCGTTTCACGGTATTAGAAAAACCGCATCAAAAATTTTTAAACTAAATTATGTCTTTCCCCCGAGTAAAAACTTGAAAATCGTAACTGCCTACCAAATAAGCAAAATGATGCATATCTTATGCCTGTTTTCTTTGACATAATCTTAAATATTTAAAGGTATAGGAAGTCAATGAAAAAATACAAGCTACATAATCATTCGTTTTTCGACAGAGTATGCTTTTGCGTGCAGTCGGAAGAAAGTTCGTTCAAAAGCTAGAAAACCCACGTTACCAGAATACTTATAGAATTCTGCTGCACGGTAATATATTTTTAAACTTTACTTAAGTTATGTTTTCTAAACAGCAACGCATTTCAGAGGTTAAGTTAATATTCAATGAGTTTAAACATGTACTGTAGTAATCCTAACTGCACTTTATTACGTTTAAAAATCTGAAAACGCATTATGACTTTCAAGGAGAAATCACCGTTAGGCTATATGGCATATTATCTAAAATCCCTTAAAAAATTATTTTCGTCGCATGTGGGTTTCCAGGCATGCAGACAAAAGCGAATGTGGCGTTTGTTCGTATTTACCTATTAAAATCTTTCGTCTCGAGGTGAGTAAATTATTATAGAATTATTCTGCATGATGGTTAGTTTTACAACCCTATCTAATTAATCTTCTTGAGGTTGCACAGTTACTCGGAGGCTTACAAACATTGTTTATATCCTCTCCGGGATGTCCTTGTCAATTCATTTGATAGTTACCAGTGGGTGGCCATCCAACTTCCGAATCCGGTGACAAAATGCATGCTCAGAAATATACACGCCAATATGTGTCATGAAAAGGCCGTTTTAAATTTATTCTTATTTTGCTTATAATAAAAGTGTGAATAGGCACATACGACAAATTGCTACATTAACTTAATTTTGGTATTAACATCAGTGTGTCATATGGGACAAAAAATAGTTCCTAAACATTTTAAATAAACGTAACGTTTTGCTGGAGTGCTATTTCTTCTGAAAAGCCATCACAAAAATTTATACAATTAGACCACGTGATTTACCAAAGAGCAGTTTTGATTGCCAAGATGTGTTACACTTCGTGGACACTTGAGTTCATCAGTGACTGCCAATTTTAAAAAAATTATATCTCATTTGCAGAGCATTGAGTTGGATAAACTAAATCTTTTCTGTGAAAATGGATCATGCAAAGCTGTTACAAACGAGACCACGGACGTTACATATAGTCATAAAAAAGGTATGCGACTTCTTTGATAATTACTGCAATTTCTTATACAAAGCAGAAGTTTCACGTGGTATTCCGCCGCAATTGTAAACAATGATGAGCAGTGAGATAAAAAGGCGTAACTTAAAACAATCGGACTTTCTAGGCAACGCCCAGTTATATAGAATAGAACCAAATGTAAATACATAACCCGACAGGTTAAATCATGATTATAAGTGCTTGAACTTCAGACCGTCAGCGTGAACAAATCATTAATGGGACCACGTGTTCTACAAGAGAGTTCTGTTAATTAAAATTTGAAATCACACTTATGGAGTCATACGCAACAGTGAAATGCAATGTAATATGTCTCGAATAGCTCAGTGCGCTGAGCGAGAAGCACCATTCTCAGTAGTAATGATATAACATGTGCGTCATGAAAGGCCCAGTCACCAACATGGATTGCGGGAAATCGCATGAATCAGGCTGGACTGAGTTAACTTTTCGGAGTGACGAACAGCACGTCATGCTGTCTGGGTCTGGCGGAGGTGAGAATTAGACCAGTCAACATGTACTTGCAATCATGGGTCCACGAGCTGAAGTCAGAAATCCAGATGTTTTCATAAATGTGAATATGGCAATCTTAAAGCGATAGAGAGGCCTAAATATCGGTATCTATTTCATGATGCGTCTGATGATTATCGAATGTTTCATGAGTGACCTTCTAGGATCTTTTTCAAACTTGATTGAGACTGACTTTGAACCCTCAAATAGAGGCATCTACACGAGATGTGTTAGACTAGAACAGCACTGACAAAGCACCTTTACTTTTTCTGGTTGGAAAAATTGCTGTACCGTTTAGAAAAATAAGATAAGTGATTGTGCACAAATGTTAAATTTTGATTTGAAGTCCTCGCACCCTACAGAATGAAACTGAATGAAATGTAAGGAATGAAACTGAACAAATCAAATTGAACAATTACCGGTCACTTCGAAACTGACATCTTCGTACCCCGTACTTTCCTGTTTGGTGTGAACTTTTAATATATTTCTTCGAATACTTGTTTTTACTAGGGCTGTGTCTGAGAAAGCGTATGTCGTCATCGTTATCGTCACAAGCAGACATCCATGACATGATTGAATGGGCATGAAGTAAAGTGTCTTTCTCAAAAACCGGAAAATTTTGACAAATCTGGAATCTATATAACTTAACCAGGCTTTCGACGCCTAAACCGTCACAGGACTCCGTCAACCTACCTTGATGAAAAAATTCGTTAAAGATAAACTATTTTTCTTTCGCTCTCAGGGTTTAATGTCAGTTTTATGTGCAGTCTTTACATCATGTTTGTCACTACCTTGTCGCATCGCGGGTTCTATTAGATGGTCAAATAAGAAGCAAGCTTTCAATTCTAAGTTTGGCCTGTCAAGGATAAGCAGACCGTCTCTTAAAGTGGAAGAATCGGACTGCGATGCATTTATCAGCACCAGTTAAATGACCATGTAGCTGTCCACATCAAGGAGGTCATACCTTGATTTTGAACAGCCGCTTTAGCTCAAACAAACTTTCATTTTATTCAATCATGTTATAGATGTAGGCACGCGCACACTGAAGTGATGTTTGTCTGTAGAGGCAAATGACCTTACAATTCTTGTGGAATCAAAAATTTGGCTTATGCTCGTTCCTAAGTCAACGAAACTTAGACTGTCTTTCAATCTTTATGCAGGCAGATTGACTTGCATCACGTTGTCAGTCCCTATGCCTGTGCGTTTAGCGCAGATGCAGCACAGGTTTGAGTATAAGGTAGCTCAAATGACCTCTGTCTACGTAATGAGATGAAAGTTAATTAAAAAAGCCTTGATTTCATCTCAACATCTAATCTCCTTATGGTAAATTTCACCTATCGTCGTTCCGCTTAGCAAATAATTTGTGACAATACTTACTGGCAATTATGCGTTATCCAAACAATCAGGTATTTTACATAAATTTCCCTGTCAGCTATCAACTTGTAGGCAATGTTAAACTTTAATGAAACACTTACTCCAGAAAGGCAAGTTTGGCGTTCGGAAATAACCCAAGTTAAAAAATGATGCTTGCCCCCATTCGCCAAATTTCTTGTTCAATTGCAATATTCCAACAACATTACGAAATTTCCAACAAACTGCAATTGACTGCTGTCAGTGATTTTGAATTGTTTTCGTTTATTATTCATCAGAAGGAAAGTACTATCGAGCGAGTGCCAGATTCTGCGAACCCGAACTTATAAAATACTTCCGAATTGGATGGGAAGTAAAGGAATTCAAACGACCTGGACGGAAGACACTGCTTACACAATTCATTTTCCCCGAAAACGACTGGTCGGGGAGCAATAAAAGTAAGCGACCTTTTAAGTAATGTTTGGTGGAGAAAGAATCTTCGGTTTTTGGGGTCTGACAGACAATAAATGCTCTTAATTGTAGGCTGCATTCAACCGCAATATTCTCTACCACTCATGAAATCTGTCAATAAAAGTTCTCAACTTACAGTGCAGTGCAGTACCCGGAAATCAACGTGCCATAAAAGCGAAAATGTATGCTTCGCAAAATTATCTGTGAACTAGCAATTCAGTTAGAGTGAAATGCTTAAATAAACCTTTTCTTTGTAGGTAGTGATTTTCGACTTAAACAGCGTCTTCTGTGTATACAACGAGACCGTTAAAACATGCAGTAAGTGCTTTATGAGTGAAAATTTTTACAATTATTTTATACCATGAAACAACGAAACCTTTATTAAACATTTAAAATTAACCTGCAGACAAAACAGAGGAGAACGATGGCATCGTCCACTATACTACAACGGTATCTAACACGTCCCCAAACAAATATTTCCCCGACCAATATGTCTTCTGTAACTCAAACGGGAGTTACATTTCAATGAGGATCACCTGGAACTCAGGCAAAACTTCTTTTGCATAAATATCAGTCGTCTCTTTGAGGACTTATTTTGGTCTGGTATTTCAGCCTTTGCAACTGGTAAGGCTGAGGCAAATGGGAGCGATCCTATGGGGAGTGACACTATAGAATCTAGATAAAATTGCTTATCCACATGAGGTGTGAATTTTGATTGAAGCAAACACTCATTTACGACATACTTATAATATAGACAGGGCCGTTGTAAAAATACAGGGTGACTCTGTGGCAAGAAATAAACTCAGCAAATAGAAACCAGTCTATTATACGATGGAGATTTTGTAAATCTGCCATACTTCATTCATCGCATTGCATGAACAGTTTCCCATGGTTCGCATAGACCAACACTCGACGACTACCGAAGAGAATAAAGCAACAACAACATCGACCCCCGGTAATAAAATTTATATGTTTTTTGTCTTTATTTACAAGTATTTGTGTGTTTCAGTAACTGTATATTCGAAGAGGGCGTCCCCGTATTTATTTTTAAAGTACAGTTAATGATCTGTGGTAACTTTTTTAAAATAATGTTGATGTCACTGATTGCTCTGCCAGTGTTTTTGCACGTTCATGCCTGTTTACGCTGTCTTTAAATGACCAAGATTGAAGAAGCGTCTGCCTTGTATACAAGTTGGAAATTGGAGTTAAGTGAATGCCACTAGATTTTCAAAATCACCGTCGCTTAAGCAGAGTGGACTCAGACATATCATCATATGGTGCACCATAAATGGCAAATTATTTTTTTGTTCAATTGCACAAAACATCGTGCTCCAAAACCTGAGGCGGACGCTTTATACTCGCCACCTTCAAAAAATGTAGACAAACGTTTTTAGTCTGTCTGAAATTCGTCTGACTGTTTCATTTCGACAAGGCGTTAAATGAACGTGTCGCAGTAAAGCTAGACTTAATATCTTATTTTGCTTATTTTGTCTACCATTCAAAATTAACGTACACTTGATTTCCATAGAGCAGCGGTCTACGATCATTGTGGAAACTGAAAGAACAACAGTAGCGAATATCAGTAAGGCCTCTTGTATGTGTATTCTCATATGCCAACATATATATCCGTGTCGAAGTAATTGTTCATTCTGCTTAAAAGAAACACAAATCCTAATTGTTACAGATTCAGTGTAATGTACGACGGTGGGTCGGTAATCTTGTTTAACATTTGTCCGGTCACTCTTGGTTCAACGCATATCTACCAATAGCAATTAAAAAAGTGATATTTGCTACTTTGTGTGAGTTAGCGTCAAATCTAAACTGACAGCATGTTAAGCAAGGCAGGCCGGCGTTAGAGCAGTCACATTACAGTGCGTTTATTGGAGCCATATAATGTTATTTCTGCAAATCCTTTCGTTAAACACCAGTCGCAGTTAAATAAGAAATACATATAAACACCTTTACACAATTCGGAATAAGTACTAAGCGAACCCTTTCAGACTATTTACATTTGGTAAACAAGCCACTATTATTCTAACGTGGTTTCGAGCAAAATTCGTTAATAGCAAACACAACATATAACGGAGAATGTAAAAACGCAAAGTTCATTCTCGCCATATATTCAACAGCTAGTCTATTTCGCGATATCTAAATCAAAATTATTAAATAAATTTTTAATAAGAAAAAATTATACACGTGGGTGATAATATTAATTATCGCACAGCGCACTGCAAAAACAATTCATTTACATAAGAATGCCGAGTATTTTACGCAAACATATAATAGGTTTGGTTCCACAAAGTTCGAAATAGAGAAATTGTTTGAGATCATAAAACGCACATTTGAAATACATAGCGCCTGCCAGTTTGCCAATGCCACTTATGGCCTGTTTCATACGGTCGACGATCATCAGGATTTTTTGTATGACATTCTGGAAGTGCAAAGCAATGTGTGATTTTCCTTATACGAAAAATACGCCGCATGCAATTTAGGAATTCTCGACGAAAAATGAAAAGTGCATGTTAGATTTACCGATATTTTGGAAATTAATAAGAATTACAGTAACTTAAATTAATCCGTTCTCCGAGTGCAATGTTTGAAAAAGACCTAGCTGTGCATCAAATGGGTACTCAAAATAATGCCTGTAATGCATTTGTTTTATTGAAAAATTTGTCTAAATTTATAATGTCGTTGAAGACCATTGGACGAAATTCATAGTACTTAGTGCACATTTAATGCCGGTCGCGGTTTATGCAAGCGTCCAGTAAGAGCTCTTTCAAAGACCGTAACCCTGACCTAGTCGCCAATTTGGAATTGCTTTTCAAGAAAACAGACAATCATCGTAGCCCCCTTTATAATCCTCTATATTCATAATCGCATTCCTGAGTTACAGGCAGCCTACGACACGCACGAGAAGTTGAGGTCGGAGCTGTTGTGATTGAGCAATTGCTTTTTGTAATTATGAACATATACGGATTTTCGTATGTAGTTCAATAGTTCAGTTGACATGTGAATTCCGGTCTTCAGTGTTCGGGATGAGCAATCAGCTAATAACAATCAGCCGTGCAGATGCAATATAAACAAGAGCTTAATCTAGAACCAGTGCTTACGCCTGCTTGGGCTTGCATAACTCATATGCAAATATTCGGCTGATTTTGGCGAAAGTACTGTCGGTCATTCTACGGGTACCAGATATAAAGCAAAGCTAACCCCTAGTTTATAAAATGTAATCTGACAAGCTGTTTGACAATCACATTTGCGTAAAATTGTCACCTTAATAATCCTGGAGAAGTTTTAATAGCAGCTAAAACATAAGGCGGAGGGCCAGACGTTAGGTGAAGTCTGAGTTAAAGCCGTTTTATGTTTTCACCGTCAAATGCGTTCGATCCTGTCACATGACTTCTGAGGCGACATAGGGCCATAAAAAGCTAATACGGTTTTAAAACCTAAAACCAAAACAAAAGCACTGACTAACCTGTGGCTATTATATTGCTAAAAGACTGTTCGATTATTGCTAACCTGGCTCGGATGTTAAGCATTAATTTGCAGAAAACCAAGCACTATCCGAAGCGTAGGTCACATGTTTGGAAAACAAATTACTAAGCAGCCTTTTGTGTGTATGTTCTCTTTCGAACCTAGTGCTGCCTGTTTTTTGTATATTATCTGATGTGCGGTTGTCAGGAATACTACATGATGCAAACTGTCATAAACCTGCTAGACAGTCCAACGTACTGCATGAATTGGGGTATGATAGTGAAATCACTAAACGCAAAACCGTTCATTTGATTTGTAAACAGTGGAACCGATATTTGTTCAGGTCGTGACTAAAATTCGCCTAAATATGTTCCATTATATAACAGCAAATTTCTTTTTAGGTTAAAGTCCGACACGCTTCCCCAGTGGACAAATAAATAATTTCTTTATTTTGTGCAGACGACTCTAACACATTTTACGCCCTTCTATTATGTCATCTGCAGCAAATATTGGATACATACAACAAAGACTGTCAAAATTTAAAATACATAAACGGCAACAATAGGTTAAATGGAAAAACTAATACTCACAATTCCGGCGCCTACTACTTATGATCCAATACCCATAGGTATAATAAGCTGGTTCGTTAGGTTTTAGTAGATATGCAAAACGCAGAGCACTACCAACCACATTTTCTGTGTGGCTACATGAAATAACATTAAACCTGCACATTGTCTTAAAATTTCCCTGCATTTAACAACATGTCGTTTATGCTATCCAATAACTGTTGTAGGTGATTTCTGCAATTTTAAACCTGCGCAAACACACATTTTAATTTTTATATTGTTTGACACAATTTTTACAACCACTGCTTCAGATGATCAATGCGCCTGCCCAAACGCAAGTAAGGCGATACGATGATGACATGCTTATTTCCGTTTTGCAAAAAATTCAAATCAGTTTTTATTCTATAGATGAAGCAATGGAACTACCAACATGTAAACGTGTTGGTGAGTTTTGTATTCCACAAATTCAAATCTCTAGCTAAAAAGATGATTAATGTCCAGCGATATTTTATAATTTAGCAATATTCGACTGTTCTGGCCATTGCGGATGATAACGAGTGAGTTTACCAGCTTCGGAGTTACTGACGCTAGGCAAAGTAGTACGCATGCTTTTCGTATTTTGGGTTTTTTATATTGATGGGGAGTTTTGTGCACTGCTATGAATTCATAATGCGTTAAAAAACATAATTTTATAAGGTTAGTTAAACATGAATAAAATCATAATATTTTGGTTTTTGAAATTTAATTTGCTGGTGTGCAATGCATTTTGTTTTAGATGTGCATGGTGTTGTCCCGGCGAAACCTTTATGGATGCGCTCGATGTGCCAATAAAATATATATCTTTATTGCTTGAATATTCTTAAAATTACTTGCAAATGACGTTGGAAATAAAAGTATGTCCTGGTTTCTATTGGGTCTTATTGTACTGTACATGCTATTCTGAGGATTGATGCCGGTTTATTTTTGCTGCTGTTAATACATAAGTTTAGTAGTCAACATGGAAATGCCATAATTCAGAGACATACTTGATACATAGTGTCATTCCACAAATACTGTAGGCGTTTTGATGTATAAGCACATTAAAAAATAACGTAATATATTTACAAGGGTGCATCCGTAGTGATTGTTTCCGTTCATGCAATGTGGTTGTGCAAAAAATGTGTCATCTTCTGCTGAACGTATGACTTGTCTTTGGAGTCATCATAGTCATAGTAGGCACTTGCTGATCTTCAATGCTCAGATATTACATTTCGAAATGTTTTTGCGTCTAAACATTTTCGCGCTGAATAATTACAAAATTGATGACAACAACGTGAGCGGTATAGTATTTTGTTAGGTACAATTCCGGAATAATTCTGCGCTTTCTTATAGCCTGTAGTTACTTAAACGTGACTCGTGGCGGAGGATACTATTCAAAAACGAAGTCGTTGTTGTTTTTATTGTGCTAAGTTCTAGCGTAAGCGTTGGACGGATTGACGGAGATTAATACCAGCTTAGGCTTAGAAATTAGTCAGAATTTAGAAATGCTCATTTTATCTGGGGATTATGATTACTATTGTTTTTGTCGTTGCACAACTTTTATACAATCGATATATGAACATATGATGAAGCATTTTTGTGAGTACTACGTACACTTTAACTGCCTATTTCGTAAGGGTGGGTTCTGCAAGCCTCAGTGGATTTAATTTGGTTGTACAATCATGTAGTAGCGTCCTTTTTTAAGTTGCACTGGAGACGCAAATCCAATTGTTCTCCTAAAAACCACATACGGAATCCTTTTTGGTCGACGGGAGGAACGGAAGAATGTAGTTGCCAAAACACTGAAGCCGTTGTCCAGCATTTATAGATTAAATGCTTATTTGTTTCTTCCAGAAAACTGTGTTGGCTGTGTAGATTATGCATTAAGACCAATCAGCATTTGATAGCATTAACATTAAATTATTAACTGCACATATGGTCTAAGTCTTAGAATGCAACTTACGGGGTTTAGCCCATTGTTCAATTAAAGGTAAACAAAATTATGAACTACGTTCTCAAGATAAGCACCATATAAAAACGCAGCGCAATAGTGTGTGGGCGAAAAAACAACATATCGTAGGTTTTTACTCTAAATTATAGGAGGTTTATTTCGGAAAAGATTGCAAATCTGAAAGTTAGTGACCTGGACTTTGAGATGGTTATCTTAGAGACAGGCATAGCTTTCTCCTACATTAGTTCTGAGAGACAGGAATCACTTTTATAATTACTCTCCCAAATGCTTTTAGGCTTCGTTTTATGACTTACTTTTGCATAAACATCTCAAAATAATGAGTTGCAATTGGATTGCTCATACTTTCATAGATATGAAAACCAAAAGGCATTCTGCAGAGAAAATTATCAACCCCATTCAGCACAAGCCGGGTTTTTAACTTGACATATTAGGCACTTAAAAGGGAACGAAATCACAGAATTATCTAAGTTTATTTCGACGAACGCCACCACTGGCGTGGACAAGTGAACGGTTTATTAGATGTCACGGCATGTCAGTAGTCAAATATACCGACTATTATTCTCTTGAACATTTTGAGGATTATTTGTCCAGGTAGTAAAAATGCAAAGGTTGTTATTTTAACTTATACTCCAGTCCATGACCCATGTGCGATTTCAAAAGGCCGTCAGATGTATAAAAAATAACGTCTCAAACTGTGTGATACACCTGATACTTGAATGTCATTTTGTGCATCCTGTAATGATCTTCCACGGGGTATCCACAAGCCACATGACAAGGACACCTATAACGATTTGAAAAACGGCGCGCGTTTCGGATTTGCTTTGAAATTTACGACCTCGGGGGATTTTAATTTTACCGCGAATTCTATCTACTGGACGTTCTCAAGGCTCGTGGGTATTAAGAATCCGATCCGTCTTTGCGACCGATCTATCCTTGGAAACGCACACCAGGACTTGTGAGGGATAACCTATCTTCGTCCAGTCGTCTATCTGCAACAGCACTGAGCAATCCCCAAAACCAACAAAAGCCTGAATCGTTTACCTCATATCTTTGATCCGTTTGAAAATTCATCTCATACCGTTAAGAAAACCGTTTGAAAAGTGTAAACTCGGTAATTGTATTCAAAGAAATGCCCTTAAAACACGGTGTTAAATGTTTGTCCCAGACGGGATTCGAACCCGGGCCATCGCCCGGCCAGCGTAGTCAAAACAAATGATACATTATGTATTACGCATGATATTAATGACTGCAGTTTTGGAAGTTCTGCTGGCAGACCAATGCCTGTAAAACGAGCAAAAAGTCTAGTGACGTTGGGGGATGTCACATAAGACGATAAAATCTGTACCACATGTTTCGCTCTCATCCACAAGTTTTCAAAAATGGAGGGAGAGTTAAAAGGTCTAAAATGGAGGTAGAAAAGTTAAGGAAGCTTACTAAGCACTTACGTGAAGAGAAGAAGTCGACGAATTCGGCAATCCAAAATCCGAAAAAAACATATGCAACCACGGCTTCTTTAGCCATATCAAACGCTGAAACTGATGACGGTTCGTCCAAGGAACTAGACACAGTTGAATGCCAGTCTCTTTGGTGCGAAAAAGACCAGCCAAAGCAAACTCAGAGAACAAAGAATCATCCCAGAAAAACAACGCGTACCTCTGTACTGTCCAAAAAAATGAAAGCCGCCTGTGTACCCGCAGACCGGCGAAGGAGGACGACCAGGAGGCCTGCGAAGTACCGCCGCGGGCTCCCAAATATGTTGAGCAATAAAGATATCGGAACACCTTGTGGACCGAATATTCAGGAGGAGTCTTCGAAAGAAACTGAGGTAAGCTTTTTTCGACGAACACCTCGGGAACACAGAAGAAAGGGTTATGAACAGGAAGATAAATGAATCGTACACGGATCTCAGTTTCGCTAGCCTAATAGCTAGTTCATCCGAAACCAGCGAAACTAGTAAACTGGAGAAGAATGCTCAGTCACTCAAAAGATGTGTGACAACAACGAGCGCGTGGTTCAGTCGCAAGCAAAATGTAGTTATAAAAGGATTACCGAATCAACGGCAACATTTCCAAAGGAGAGAATTATGCATGACTGTGGCCTCCTTAAAGTGTATGCGAAAGCTTTGTTAAGAGACGATGAGTCACTTAATGTTCTCAAAGCATTCCGAACAGGTAAGACTCAGTCAGCATCCTGCTCCAATTCCCGGCCTCTACCCCTAAAAGTTCTTTTGGAGACTGAAGCACAGACCGGGCTCCTGTTACAGAGAAAATTATCTCTGCGGGGTCAGCATCCTGAAGTTTTTTTTCAGCCGGATTACGAGCCAGAAAAGGAATTGAAAATGAGAGAGCTGATGATGCAGCTGGAAAAGCGGAATAGCAGCGGCGAAACACACCTACGAATCACGAACGGACTAGTAATTCAGGTCTAAAGGACATTTCTCTGGCCGAAGGCTGTCATTCTGACAGCCTTACCGATGCAAATGTGCCAACTCCTGAGGCTGCTCGAACTAGTGGCCGTTGTCTAGAAATCTATTATACTAAATCTCAGAGTCCTCTAAACAAGCTAGATGAACTTAGATTACTAGTTTCTGAACAGAAGCCACACATAATTATCCTAACAGAGACATGGTTGACTGAGGAAATAAGTTGTAGTAAAGTCAGTATTGAAGGCTACCAACTGTTCCGTTGTGACAGATTTCAGCGTAGAGGAGGAGGCACAGCTATTTATGTGTCAAATAAAATTACGTGCTGTCAACGAGAAATATCTGATGGTGCGCCCCGAAACTTTGAAATAATTTTATGCAAGATATGTATCAAACAATTACCGACACTGAACCTGTGTGTTATCTATCGGCCTCCCAGCTCGAATGAAATCGCTGATATGCAATTACTTAGTGCACTGGAGTTGTTATGTAAGCAGGAGAACTAAGTACGTCTGGGTGACTTTAACCATCCAGGAATAGACTGGAACATTCCCCTAACAAACGCCCCGTCCACGTCATTTGATCACAAGCTACTACAACTCTCCCTGAATGAATACCTAATTCAACACATAGAATTCGGAACAAGAATGAGAGAAGGTCAAGGATCTAGCTGTTTAGATCTCGTTTTCAGTAAAGAAGAAGGACTCATAAGGGAAGTGAATCCACAACCTCCACTCGGTTTAAGCGATCATATTGCTTTTACCTGCGTGTGCTCTCTCCTATCCAACCAACAACCAAAATTCAGGAGGCGCAGAAATATTTGGAAGGATGACTTTAAAGCAGTCAGATGCACTTTTTTTAGGAAACCTGATTGGTAAACACAGAAGCTTCAGACGAATTTAGGCAGTATTTTCGCGGGACTATAGAGCGTCTAATTGATTCCCATTGTCCAATAAAACGACAAGACTATGTTCGCGACCGCCGATGGTCAATCCGACGACAAAAAAAAGACCATGAATAAGAAACAGAGACTGTGGAAAAAGTATTTGCAACTTTGAGATCCAAGGTCATTCGCCGAACATAGGGATCAGCGCAATAAATGCCGCAAACAAATACGGGTTGCTAGAACTTCTTTCGAGGGTCTACTGATAGCAGAATCCATTACATGTCCCAAGAGGTTTTACGGGTACATCCGCAGTAGGAGGAAATATGGGAACGAAATTGCGTGTGTAAAGGATAGCCTCGGAAGCTAAGTACTTGAAGGGCCACAGAAAGTGCGATCACTGTGTCAACTTTTTTCAATCGGTTTTTACGGAGGAGTCTTCAGAAGACAATCAGCAGTTTGAAATGAAACGAGACAACCGGGAGCTTCAAATGCGCCAAGATATTGCCGTCATTGAAACCGTCGCCTTTTCCGTGGAAGAAGTAAGACGCGTCCTCAGTCAAATAAGACATGATAAGTCTCCTGCACCCGACGGAATTCCCGGGCTGATACTTAAGGAGCTATCAACGGAGCTGGCGAAGCCTCTTTCGACGCTCTTTGAGCTGTCAATGAGAACAGGAAGGCTGCCATCACAGTGGAAGACAGCTAACCTCGTTCCCTTACATAAAGGCGGTAGCAGGATGGCAGCAAGCTGTTTCAGGCCTATTAGCCTAACCTGCCTCTCGTGCAAAACGACGGAAGCTCGAGTAAAGAGTGCCATACAGCAATTTTGTGAAGAAAATAATCACTTGCAGGATTTCCAGCATGGCTTCCGGAGAGGACGTTCTTGCCTCTCAAATCTGCTAGCTTGTCTGGAGATCTGGACCAGGGCTCTAGAAGAGGGTTTTGAGGTCGATGTCGTGTACATCGATTTCCGCAAAGCTTTTGACACTGTCCCACACCAACGTCTTCTTCACAAATTGAGCGACATCGGCATCCGGGGAGATCTTCTGAACTGGATTAGGGCGTTTCTGCTTGGTTGGAAACAACTTGTCTGTATCGGAAATAATATGTCAAAATGGGTGAACATGACAACTGGTGTGCCTCAGAGCTCAGTTCTGGGACCATTGCTCTTCATCCTTTATGTTAACTACAACCTTCAGGAACTCGACTGCGGCAAAATAATGTTTGCAGACGACGTTAAGCTCTGGTAAGTCATTAAGGGTCCGAATGATCAGAGGTCCCTTCAAGATAATCTGCACCGACTGCAAGCGTGGTCGAAGAAATGGCTTCTAGATTTCAATGTGGATAAGTGTGCCGTCCTTCATCTCCAACCAACCAACTCTCCTTCAAATAAGGGCCTGAGTGCATATCACCTGAAAGATATAAGGCTCCCTGCAGAATCTTCATAGAAGTATCTCTGGGTTTGGATACAGAACAACCTGAAACCAACACTGCAGTGCCACAAGGCTGCAAAAAACGCCATGGGAGTGCAGCATGCAATAAAAAGGGCTTTCGTTAACTTTGACCAAGACCTTTTTTGTGAGAGTTTGCGGCACTTCTGTTCGGCCGTACTTAGAATATGGCATCCAATCTTGGCGGCCATGGCTCGTAAAGGACAAACCTGCCTTCGAAAAAGTTCAGCGTCGTGCGACAAAGCTGGTAAACGGTTAAAACAGGCAATCATACACAGAAAGACTGAATTGCCTTAATTTATTTCCTCTGTGTTACAGGCAGCAAAGATGTGATCTTATCCTCGTCTACGAGATAATACACAGCTTTCGGCATGGACTTTAATATGAGGACATGCTTCAGTGGCACCTTTCTTCGTGGTCACTCGATGAAGTTACGAATAACAATGTCCAGGCTGAATCTTCGTTCTGAATTTTTCACGCAGAGGTTAGTGGAGAAATGAAACGATCTCCCTCAGTCAGCTATGGAGGCTCCGTCTCTGCAACTCTTTAAGAAACGCTTGGACGATTATTTGTGTCCCCTGTTTTCCCTCGACAGTCTGAATCTGAACTAAGACCCCACGTCCCCACCAATATTTTCTCTGAGACAATGCTACTCAAATGAATCAAGTGCTGTTTTAATGGCGAATATTTTTATTGTTCGTGTACAGTTATTTCTAACGAGCTGACATGTAATCAATAGGGTATTCAAAGGCCTGGCCTATTAACCTTACCAAATAAACTGAATAAACTAAATAAGAAAGCTGGAGTCATAAGAAAGTATTTCATAAGTCTTTTGTTTGAAAACATCTTGCTCAGTAAATTGGAAAAAGGCCACTTTTATTTATGTAAGCAGAAACTGTAGAAGGATTCGTATTGTGCAAATTTTTTAGACACGGAATTGCCTATTATGGATGTGGATTTTGTATTATAAAATCATAAATGCTGCGGTGGAGATGAAATAAGATTAAAAGCGAGGTTTTTGTGTTCATTGTTCAGTCATACTGTACCACCTATTCTTGTATAAGCAAACGGTCCAGTCCAATGACTAGCCCCAATTGACTGCATATTAAACATATAGGTTTGAGTTAAAATTGTGGAATTTTGTTATATTCAAATAATCAAGGCATAAAACTAAGCCAGAGGTACTTGCAAAGACTACATTGCATTAAGTTCGTCACTTGAAATTTATTTTATTAGTACTCAGTTAAATTGAGTCTTCACTCGCTTCCGGTCATGATTATAAATCCGCACTAGGTGAAATGTGGTAAAATGACTCAATATATGTGTGTTAACGCATGCAATGGTAATCAAAATCCTAAACTGCGTTTTCATTTCGAAAAGATTACTTAAGTAGCATATTAGAATTGATTACCCTGCTGCTAACTTCTATAGTAATTAAGCTACCGCGAGTCGCTGGCGTTTGAGTAAACTTCTTTCCGTCTGCGGGCCAGAACTACATTCGGCTAAAATGAAAACTGAAAAAGCATGAATTTTTTACACTGAATTTACATGCATTTAAAAAGTTAGTTAAATTCCCTGTATAACAAGCAGAACAATATGTATTATTTTATTAATTGGGTAGGAATAACCAGCGTCTTCTGATTTTATCCTCGAACAAATAATCTGATCCGGTTTTCAAAAGCTTTTCACATTTCTAAATAATTTTGAATCACTTTAAACTCACCTACCGTTGCACATGTATTCTGGTTTTCGAAACTAAAAGCCCTATTTTTTTCGCGCACATGGCCTTCAGTAATTTCAATAATAGAGTTGAACTTTATTGTAAAATTTGTATGCTACACTGGCAAATGCACAAACACGACCATTTATGAACGTGCATTTCACGGTACTAAAAATTTTCACAATTATAAACTTTGTGAAAACCGGATTATCCGCCTTCGTCGAGTTCAAAATTCAAGCAGGCATACTATTCCACCGAAAATTTAAGAGATTGAATATTTTTATATTTGTTTTCCAATAATTAATATTGCATTTTTAAGAGCGTGGAAAATCAATATGAAAAATGCTTCCAACTAATGCGGTCATTTTCTGTATAGTGTGGCATTAGTCTGCGGCCGGAGAGAACATCGATTAATATCGGGCATTTTGTCGTAACTAAATTGTTATAAAATTGTGCTTTACGATATTTATATTAAAAGCCTGCCTAGGTAATATTTTTGAGATGGAAACACATCTCATACTTTTGGCTCACACGCGTTAAGTCATGACACATTAATATGTAAGCAGCATTCGGCAGAGGTCATTGACGTTGCTGCTTCTATGACGTCCATGTGGTTGATTAATGTAGGCTGAAAAATAATAAATATTTCAAATTCCAAGGTATGATCCTTGTATAAATTTGGATGGAAACATCAACTGTGCACGAAGCCTCCCGAATTGCTTCTAACATTAAAGCGTTCTCTTTTTCTATGGAGATCACACCCTGCATATTCAAAATGACACACACGGTAAATCGATCACATGGCTGCCGAGAGATTTCAACTGCTGGGAAGCCAGTGGGTGTGTTTTGTGAGCAGTGTAAACTGTTTGTATGCACTTTGTCTCGATGGTTTTAAGACCTTTATACTTAATTCTGTAATTGACTGGGTAAAGATGTGAGATTTATCCCGAACATACCCGTCTGGCACAATATGCCTACGGGCGGAGCACAGAAATTTGGTCTTAATTAAGACTGACGGCGAAGAAATAGATGGCAGAGCTCTAGATGTTTACAAAGATCGCACACCAAACAATTGGGGATTAGAAAAATTGCCTTCGAACTGCTCGTCGAAACTAGGCTATCCAGTATTAGAAATATTGTAATTCCTTCCAAGGAAAAATCGAAGCAGATTATGATACGAATGCACAGGATATTTTTCCGGGCAAATATTTAACAGGTAATGAAGAGAGATTTGGTGGAATCGTCCTTCTATGAAAAAGAGTGTTTTACAACTTCAGGATACACGTTTGAATTTCATTTATATCCTGGTGATAGTTTTAGTGTATGATTTCATAGACATTTTAATGGTTAGTATGACAGACATCCTTTGACATAGTTACTGAATGACAACGTACTGGGCATGCTCCTTTTCCTTAATAACAGGTCTGACTAAGGTTCCATACCCCTTCCTTATCATATTACAAAAAGATTTGTTGAGTACGTTTGTGGGGCTGGTTGCTCAAATTGTCAGAGGACTATGGATGATGCAAAAAAATTATAATCTTATTGGCCGTATGTAACAAGGAATTCAAGGGTTGCCGACAACTGCAAATTGTCATTTGATACTGCTGATTGCGTAATTAGTTCACGGGATTGACAAAACAGTAACAATCTGGCTTTTGATATTACAAGTGCAAAATGAACATGACCAATCCGAATTTAGGAGACGTTTTTCTGTAGATTTGGCTTGCGATTCTTTTGTACAAAATAATTAAAGTAGAGGTGGATTGGCGCAGTTTGACAGTAGTGACTACTATTAACCGCCAGACGGAGGGTCTTGTTAATTTGTCGTCTAATTATAACGCATAGAGTAAAATACTTTCTAGAAGGGATATTTAAAATGCTGTTCCGTTTCATTGTAAAGAGACATATAAGGGTAATAGGACGCGGAAACATGGCCTTACTTCAAACCAACGGTCAAGTGATAAGTGACAGAGATCTTGGTGTTTAGTAGGACTGTGCCTTAAACAACTGGCAGTTTGTAATACGTTTATTTCCACGGTATTCTTCGGAAATATGTCACTATAATATTCAAAATATCGTGATTACTTGCATGGGAATTTCGGAGAATCAGAATAGTTAACAGGACGCAATGTAGATGGAAAGCGTGGAATCATCCCTCATTGCTTCAAGGGTGTTGTGCAATTTTAGGCGATAATGCTGGAATATAATTTTTCAAAAAGCTAACTGTTTAATGGGGCAGACATACTTTGACATGGTCACTTAATAGTCATTACCGCATAGACACAATCTAAATCAACAGCGTGCTGCACAATCTCCTTATCCGTGATAACATTTTTTTGGAGACTGCGAGGCTCCAAATCTTTTTTATACAAGATGAGTATCGAAAAAGGGCATACTGGCAAATAAAATTAGAAAAATATTCGATCTCTGGATAAGGTAACAGATTTGTTGAGTACGTTTGTGAGACCGCTTGTTCAGCTTGTCGCAGGACTGTGGATGATGTAAAAAAACTATAATCTAATTGGCCGTATATAACAAGGAATTCGAGGGTTTCCGAAGACTGAGCCAATGTTCGTCATGTGCATCTCATCATGCCTTCAAAGCTGACTGTGCCCGTTTGGACTTGCCCCTGAGAATTCTGCACGCGCGCTCTAATCGATGGGCTGACTGATGGGTACCTCATGCGAATGAATTGCCTTCAGCGATTCACTGCCTTTCCTTTCTTGGCAGTCGCCAATAATGCCTGTCTTCTCCTATACGGATCCATGCACGACCTGACTTGTTTACATTTCCTTACATGGGAACTTTAACTTGCATTTGAAGGGACTTTCATCCAGCGGTGCCTGTTGCACCAAATGAATAGAACATAGATCAAATTGCAACAATGTCGCATGACCTTTAGCAATTTAGCTTTGCGCTCAACCACTTCCTCCAGGTGTGTCTTCGGCGAACGCTCCCCTGCGTTCCCTGGACAGCTGGTCAACTACAACGCCATCCAGTCTCTTGCTTCAGTGGACGCATTCAAGCGGGATTCACCGCCACCCACTTCCAATCGTCATGACATGTCGAAATTCTATTGCTCTTTCATCCTGAACCTTGCAACTACACATTTGCCTCTCACAAACCTCCTTTTGAGTCTGGAAACTTCGTTTAACCTCTACACGGACTACGCTGTTTTTTAAAAAGGGCCTAAGTCGGCGTGATTATTTGTCAGCATTTCACAAGTCAAACCTAACCCATATATATCTTCATCAAAAGTTATCACATGTCAAATCTACTCTGAAGGAAATCTGCACGAGAGCTTCTTGCCGACTAATTAGCCGTGAAACACTTTTAGCACTTGCATGAACTCAAAGACTGCACTACTTTCACAAGTCATAAGCCCATTCTATTTGCTCTTAAATCGAAGTCTGATAAAACGCACATCTACAGATGCACCAACTGAGCTATACTTCTTCGTTTACCTCTGACATCCAACACCCCGACCGATCATAAAAAAGATGACTGAGGTTATGTCAGTCGCCTTCATTACTCATCTCCAGCTCGAACCATGGATTGACCACTTTGTTCTCCCTGTACTGTGGACGTTTCCGTCTTCCAATGCACAAACTACTTCTAACTAATGGCAGCGGTGCATTCTGTGACGCTGTATGTGTAACTGGAGGTAAATGGCCACTCCTACCTATGATGTGAACTATCGTTAGTACGAGTGGTCGCACATCAGTTAGTGAAGAAGTTATCCAATTTATTGGCGATAACACGAAGTTCAAATCAGGCGCGAATTTCGTTAGTGTGATTACATCCGTCTACATGTTTTTCACGTTCTTCGAGCTCTCTATGCCTAAAGCAATATTTAAAGTGTGAGTACTCCTCAATCGTCGTTTAGCAGTGCATATGTGCGTGCTTTGCTTATGAGATGTGGCAAATAGTCAATTGGGATAGTAAAAAGCAATATAGGACTTTGAAAACGTTGCATGCTCAAGCAGTGCATTTCGCAGTTTTCTTCGTCTTCCTCAGTTATTTGTCAACTTGGTCATTCGTCTGCACGTAAATGCTCTACCGATATGATTTTAGTAACAATTACTCGCTGATAGTACATAAGGCGCATTATTGTCCGCAAACCGGCACAAAACGACCGGTATAGGCCTTGCATTACGTTGTTTAATTGTTGGCCTACGCCATTCTCGACGTCCATATCAACTGCGTGTGAAAGTCACATTAGGAACGGCACGAGGATATCACCTCACAAACTGAATTAACGAGTTCACGAAAAAGAAATCAGACGCACTGAAACTTACGACCTAAGGGACGTGAGACAGAAGCGAACCGGCCTACGGCAGAGTTTAGCACTCCTTTGAAACAATGGTTGAATTGCGATTTCTTTTCCAATATATGAACGTTCTGGAAGTCTCTACTATGCTTAAATTAGGGCGCGTGCACAGCACATGTTAGATGATAGTTCGACCGTTAAATCCGACAATGTGCACCATATGCTACACAACAAGTTAAAGTAGGCACGATGACTTACCAATTTATTGCTTTATAGTTGGTATTGACTTCCGCAGCACCAACGGCACTCTCTTTTCCTCCCTCAGTTTGATCCAATGTCGTGATTAAGTCAAGTCAAGTGGATGTTGCTCTCCAATCCCGGTCTACAATAAACACTTGACTAGGATGTTGAATAACAACGACAACAGAAAAGATAGGAAAGTCTGGGCAGCCAAGCACGGAACCTGCACACTTAGCAGGAGCTCATACGAATATTTCTTCAATGCAGACTGCTTTGTTGAAGCCTTCCGGACGTTTGTATGGACGAAGTTGGAGTTTGTTATGTAAGCGTGGAATCGGTGGACCGAAAAATTCCTCAGTACCCCTGATTGAGTTCAAAAGCGTGCAACCTAATTTGCCATTGGACAGGTTTCACTATTCTACGAAACACGGTTATCAAATCTCGTCCATTTATTACTATATTAAAGAGTTAAACTAAGATCTACAAAGGCAGTATACCAGTCAGTCCGAGCTTGAATATGTTTAACTCTTCCTATCATCCGACAGCAAAGTGGTTAGCAGAGGGACTGAAACCTCTACACTATTACGTAGCACCACATAGCTATCGGATTACATTCGATTTCATTAAATACGTTAAAGACTCAAGTAAAAACAGTATGGATATGTTTTCGCATGATGTCTTATTGACCCACACAAACGTTCTGGTCACGTAGGCAATCGAGTGTAAATGTGACTTCCTGTCATCTAACCACCAAAAAATAGCTATTGTCACGCGCGCACCCAAAGAACTATTATTTAAATGAACATAAAATCTACAGTTCCTTTTTGCCAACCAAATATATAAACAATTAGGTTGATTTGCTATAGGATGGCCTCTTGGTCCTCCCCTAGGCGATGTCTTCATTGACAAGCTGAAGAATTTCAGTTAAACAATCAAGTTAATCAGCTAAGGCTCTACGATCGTTATGTTGACGACATCCTTGCAAATGCCACCAGAGAAACCAACATAACTACCGTCTTGGATATTGTAAATTAAGCACGTTTTTCGATAAGGTTTGCCTTGGATGTGGAAAGTGCAGGCTCCTTGCCTTTCCAAGACGTGCTTCAAAACACTCTGGTTACTAATTAGGATCCTCTGTACAGTTCTGTGCCGCATAAATCTGAATCTTCGACAGACTTGGGAGATGGTGATATGGAAATGTTTACATTGCGGATTATCCAGAACGCAGTAGTAAGGCTCTAAAATAGTTGATACGGAAGTAAAGTCAGTTTAGTCAACTGGCGTATGGTACTTTGCAAACAATGTCCAATTATTTCAGAATGACTGACAAATGATATCAAGTTAAACTCGATGGCGACAACTCATGGTGGTTATATTCACCAGATGCACTAATTACCAATGGATTCCGAATAAAGTTTGAGCCGAAACCGATAACAGTCTTCGGAAAAGCCGCTCTACGCTTATCATGGAACTAGGTTCAATGAATGTTTATTGCTTTTTTGAATAGCTATCGGTGCCATGGGTCGTATTCTTGCAATTGCAATTTGTGTGAAAACCCAAATGACTTCACGATGAGAGTAAAATAAATTGTGCACATCTGCGCCAATCTCAATTCCTTTCATCGCTTTCATCAATCTAAGGTTAATTTTACGTGAGGCAATTTACAGCCAAAGACACGATGACATATAAAATTGAACAATGGACACAAATAATTTCCCACTGTGATATCAAAGACATCAAATACCAGGCATCAATTCATTTGCAGAGTATACGACCGCACAATATTTACACACACACGTTAAATGGACGCAAACAACTAAATCGCCTGTATTGTTATAAATGATTTATCGCACTCCCTTGTGCGTGTACACACATAACCGTTCTGAGTAAACGTGAAGTTGCATTAAATAGCAAGTGTTAGATCCTGCAGCATTGCATATAGATGTCGAACGTCTCCTACAAGCTGACAAATGGACGCAGCGTTCGGCAGTAGCAAAACATTCATCTGTGTGACGTTCTATGAAAGTGTGCCTATTAATGTAAGGTCTGTAAGGAACCAAGATGTCTTATGCATGTCATTATAAGCCCAAGTACTAGGTCTCGAAACATATCATTAAGATAGTTTGGGTATCTGATGTTTGAAATTTTTACGCAGACCAATAACCGCACCTTTCTACAGCAGAAAAAATTCATTGGATGTCGGCCATTGAAAGCATTCATAATACAATAGGATCCATTGGAATCCATGCTATATTTTTATTTAAAACATCCTATGTACGCAACTATGAATAGTTTTCATTTAAAGTCAGACGGTGGATTATATCGTCAGCCGTTCAAAATTTTATTTAATTTTATCAACTGTGCGCTGGGAACTTCGACTTAAACATCTACAGTGATGGGCAGCTGTAGTTATGAAACAGTTATGTCAAAAAACGCAATAAGTAAGCGTCTTAATGACTGCAAGAATTCATTTTAATACACAACCCTTCCAGAAACCTGAGAGCTACTGACCCACTCGTTATTCTCGGCAAGCATCAGGGCAATCGAACTATGTGATGCGTACACAATTTCGTGTGTTTAATTACCGTGTCTTTCCAATAAATCAATTTTAAACAGTCATTACCTTTTCTAGTGACGGGACAGACTGTCGTAGACTGAACAGGTACATCGCATCTTCTTTTTCTGAACTGCTTTCTGAGATCCGCCTGTTGTTTAGAACTAAACTAACATCGTCACAACTTAATCCACATGAGAGAAAGTATTTAGGCTATTAGAGAAACTGAGGGTCGGCAATTCATGCAAAGCTTTACTGTCGAGTGGAGTAAGAACTTGTTGACCTGGATTAAGCAGGTAAATCTTTAGAACCATTTTGAAGACGGAAACAAACTCGGTGGTTTGAGAATGTCATTCACCCAAATTTTTATCAGAGACAACTATGCATAATGCTAATAGGTGGCCTAACGTTTCACGCCTCGTACTGACAGTATCATAGAGGAAAATTATCTAGTTATTGCGACAATAACCAATTGACGACATTTATATGGGCAAGCAAGAAATGTTCTCATCGAGAATAACAATCGGTTATAGTGGAATTGTAACTTCATCCTTTTAATTATATCACATTTACAGTTACTTTTCTCGGATGGTGAATTTGAGCGGAAAGCAGGAACGACGGGGAGAAGTAAATGCTTGTTTCAATGATGTAATCTCCCTATACTCAACAGCTTTCTGGAAATCGCATTTCCACTTGTATTGTCAGAGACCACTATTGCTACCGGTGTTCCGTGACGCGTTGGCGTAGTCACTTACACACCGCAGCCGTCACCTGATTCAGCAAAATTTTCGATCCCATCCTTGGTTTACAAGCGTATAGAAATCGCCTTCTTACAATACGTGCGATAACCCATGAAATTTTTAACAAAATCTGAAATACGTTTTAGCTTCAAAAAGCTGAATTAAGTAGCGTTGCAAAACCAATCATAACACAGAAAAGTATTATAATAATTCGGGTGCCTCGAGATGCTGGCATTTGAACGAACTTCTTTATGAAAATGGTCTGTAAAAATGACCACTAATTTGGCATGAATTTTTCTCATTAATTTTGGATGCCCTTAAGAAATGTGCTCTATAATTCGGTTTTCAAAAGTTTCCAATTTTGAGATCCATTAATAC